CTCTATGCTGTAGATTCCACTTTGGGTTTCATTTATACTTTTGCATCGTTGTTCACGTTGACGCGCAAATACACATGCAGAGGGAGCATTTGAAACCTGAGGGAGCGGTTCTAGCAGACCAATCACAGCGCTTGCGGTATGCGTATAATTGACGCATTGTTACATTTTTGGAGAGGTGCACGTCAGGGTACGCTCAAGGGTACGCGTGTTACACACAGCCTACGGCGTAGCTACCGCGTGAGTTCGACACAGAAGTATAAGCAGAAAATGTCTAATTGAAGAGAATTGGCACTGGCTTCTTACTTCCGGGTTCTGGACTGGCTGCAGTAACACGTCTCTGTCCATGCGGGGGCGCTCGTGTTCAAGTGCAGAATGAATGGGAGTCTAAGGGGTTTCGCCCCCAGAAATCCACTTTTGTCAGGATGTAATTTTTTGTCAAGTAATTTGAAAGTTGCATTCAAATGGGAGGGCTAAGAAAATACACTCAGCTGAAGATTGCATTTTTAAGTTCACTTACAGTATCTGTTCTGAAAAAAATCCATTCAAAAATGTGATGACGTCACACAATAGCAGAATGCTATCGTGTTCCGGCCAACAACAGCCTAACCTGTAAGAAATCAAAAGGACATAAGTACTCGTTCATTCGACTTTTGGCCTATAATCTATTTTGAACTTGCGGAATCAACATTAAAATCTATGTTGATTTAACGACAAGCAGGTGAAAGAGACACATTTAGCCATTTAGCCCCATAGACTCCCATTCATTCTGCTCTCCCCCGTGATCACCTCCAGTGGAATTCTAATGGAACTGCAACCAAGATGATACACAACGGGGCTAATAGGAAGAGCAAAGGCTCTCCGTTAGACGGGCTCTGGTATAAATTGGGCTTCAGGTTGAAGGAAATGCAAATTCACACCTGTGCAGTAGAGGGCACTGCTCAAACAAACTTTTCAGCTGAGCCGCCATAGGATAGGATTTAGGAGAAGAAAGTTCAACACTCCCTGCGTCCCAATTCACTTACTTATATTACGCCCTAAAAGTATGTACTCTTTTTGTTAAGAAAAAGTACATACTTTTGAGTGTGTAGCAAAAGAGTAGGCAAGCGTTGGGACATACTACTTCGTCATCTTTAACGGACAATTCTGTCGCGTGCATCCTGTCCCCGTAAACTGACCTGTCAATCATCTCGTCACTTAAAATCGTTAAAAGTCAAGTAAAAAGTCATTAAAATCCTCCATTCAATCTATTTTAATTCATTACCGTTTCGGAGCGAAATGTTGTCGCACGTTCACCTGCCAGTCGTGGGTCATTCATGCGGAGACTCTCCGAATGTGTTTGCAGTTTGAATGTAATGATGCTTTTGAAAGTTAATGGCTAAATGTATTTTTACAAAAGTTCACAATACTGCTGCAGATGCAATATAATAATTTAGCCAACATTGAATAAATACATTTTCGTCAGGTTAGATACTGATAATTAAACACTTAAACCTCTTTGTCTAAACCTCTCTACACAAGTACACAACCGCCGGACTCGTGCGTCCTCCACGTCTGTAGTTTTTTAAAGGGATACTCCACTTTTTTTGGAAATAGGCTCATTTTACCGCTCCCTCAGAGTTAAACATTTGAGTTTTACCGTTTTTGAATCCATTTAGCCGATTTTCTGATATTTAGAAGAATATCAGTAACCAGACCGTTTCTGGTCTCATTGACTTCCATAGTAGGAAAAAATATATACTATGGTATAATGAGACCAGAAACTGTCTGGTTACTGATATTCTTCTAAATATCAGAAAATCGGCTGAATGGATTTCGAAAACGGTAAAACTCAACTGTTTAACTCTGAGGGAGTTTCCGATTTCCAAAAAAAGTGGAGTATCCGTTTAACACTTTTCACTCGTGTTTGTAGTTCTAACCGAATCCTCGTCCGACGCACGATGGGTTAGAGTGTGCATCGATCTGCACTTCGGATTCTGACCGGATATAGTAGACCATCCGGGTCTCTTTGGAACACTCATTTCAACATACTACGATTTGGGACGTACTAATTCTATTTTCGAATACTATTTAGGACGGATAGTATGCGAATTGGGACACAGCGTCTTACTTCAGCAATAAAAACTAAATACAAATCTGATGTTTATCTGAAGTTGTTTTTGCTTGCTTGAATTGGATCATTGAAGGTCAGCAGCAAAGAAATTGGTTAATAAAACGAGATTAAATACGTAAAGTATATTTGTATTATTTAACATAATTATTGCAGGTTTGCATAATATTCTGAGTTTGCATTTCACTATTTTTAATCATCTAGAGAACTCAATTCATTACTCCCGATCTCTTATCTCTGCACACAGAAAGAGGCTCAGTACTGAGAGTGCACAAACACCGAATTGAATCCTCTTTCACATCTCCTTGCACTTGAACGGACACATACTCACAAAATGATGTAAAAAGAAAAAAAAAAATTCGTATTTTTGTATTTTTCGTAAACAGAGTCGTTTTGCCTTAAGTGAATGTCAACTGTTGGGAAAGAAAGCACATGTGTATCATTATATTGAATCCATGCAGTCACTCTTAAAGTGACTGCTCTGCTGTTAAATTAAAATTAATTTATTAATTACTAAAATCCTACGTCATACATTCTATTTATCTATGCTGGTAATTAGTGCAAATGTTCTTATTTTTTTTATTGAATACATAAAGTATTGTTGTTCTAGCCAGACACATTTAGATGAACGTCCTTGATTGTTGCATCGCATCTCAAACTGTTTTTGAGCACCCCTCCGTGAGTGTCATATTTCTCAGATGCTGTTACAAGTTAAAAATAAATTCAGCTTTAAGACAGACAATTTTAAAAATATGTAGTGGTGCACAATCCCTAGTTCTCTCATCTTTTGGTCGCATGAGCGACTTCAGAAACTCTTACATTTTTCCCTTTAGGTCCATGTGACATCCCTTCAATGGATTTGCAGTGTTTTTTGACGTACTGTAGCATAAACTCTTACACAAACCCACACAAACACACTTCCTTTTCAATCCGTCTGAGCAGAAATGCAGAGATGAAAAGAGGAAAAAGGAAGCAAGAATTAGATGGCTGTTGGTGGTTCAGAGCAGCAGTTTGGATGGCATGCTGGGATTGTCACTCGTCTCCTCATCTCTGTGATTTATACAGTGCAATAAGTGTTGCAGAGATGGGCTAACAGTCCAAGAGACAGCAGGGCATTAGCATAATGTGTTCAGCGGAGAAAGGCTGGAAGACTGTTGCGTCTTTAAACGCAGTGTGCCACATTTAGATTTGCCTTGCCTGCAGATGTCATCCCTCATTGGAATTGGGGATCTCAGACACTCGGCACGTGAAAATAAAACAACTCGCAGAAGTCCAACTAACTGTGTTTCTGTCCCTGTTTATGCCGAAATCCCAGTTCTGGTTTCCAATCCATTTAGTTCATTTAGAATATGTAGAAATTCATCTTACGGTTGAAAATTGGATTTATTCACTCACACATTTTGAAGTAAATGCCTCTCTGAAAGATCTAAACTGAATCCAGTAATAAACTGATATAGAATTCGTGCAGCCTTTTTTTTATTAAATGACAAGGTTTTTGGAACACACAACCAATAAAATGACTTGTATATATATATATATATATATATATATGAAGAGTTCAGATGCAAAAGCCTCTAAGTGCCATTTGAAATTTTCTTCTAAAATGATCATTTTTATCAAGCTTATGTATTTAAGTTCAGTAATTTTACTTAAATGGCAATGTCATTTAAGTAAAATTACTGAACTTAAATATACAAGCTTGATAAAAATGATCATTCTAGAAGAAAATTTCAAATGGCACTTAGAGGCTTTTGCATCTGAACTCTTCATATATACATACACAATTCACAGTAAGCTAATCACATGATTTAAATTAATAAGATGTTTAGTGCATTTGAACTACAAAAGTAGTTGTGCTGCTTAAATGTTTTGTGGAAATTGTTTTTTTAAACAGAAAGTTGAAAAGAACAGCATTTATTTAAAACAGAAATTAAAAATTGTTAACTGTCACTTTTTTATTTAATGCATCCCCCTGCTGCATAAAATTAGGCCTATAAAAATATCTTACTGACTATTCATCATTTGTGTTTATTTAGCAAGTTAACTTATGATTAGAGATTTGGGTAAAACTTTACTTGAAGGGGTGTGCATAAGACTGGCATGACACCTTCATAACCATGACATGACATATGTCTTGAATATGAAATGACAACTGTCATTAAGTGTCATTCGCTCAATTATGACATTTTTAATGCAAATATGACATTGTTTAAGATGTCTTTGTTATGTCAGAGTCTGTCAGAGTCTTGACAAAGGTTTATGTCTTGTATTGGTTTATGTCAAACAATGTCATATTTGCATTAAAAATGTCATAACTGAGCGAATGACAGTTAATGACAGTTTATTTTATTTATTTATTTATTATATTTATTTAACAGGGACAGTGTATGGCATGCAGCCATACCAGAATTAGCTACAAGCTTATAAAACCATAAAACATCATCATACATGCTTCATGGAACAATTGACAATCAACAGACACATAAAAACATCACACAAATCGCCTCTCAGACAACAAGGGAGTCAGACAACAACAGTTGTCACAAACATGCATAAAACATTCATATTCATAGCATATGTCATGTCATGATTATGAAGAAGTCATGTTAGTCTTATGCACACCCCTTCAAGTAAAGTGTTACTGAGATTTGTTTGTCCACTCCCTTCCCATTATAAATGAAATTCACAGCTCGTGGAAAATTCATCTCTAAAAGTAGCTGAAAAGTGACCTTGAACCTCTTCCGTACAAAGCACTGGAATGACTAAACGTGCCTAGAGCAACACAACAAGCTTTACTCTCAAGAAAAGTAGCTCTGTGTCTCTCGTTTCTGGATGTTTTTTTCTCTTGTGTCTTTGAAGATGTTGACGACCTGTCATGTGTCTTGTCCTGTAGAGATGTCCATGAAGAGCTGAGGATAAAGAAGACAGTTGATGCGTGGATCAATACACTCAGCAAGGAGATTCAGGTGAGCTGAACTGAAAGATTTTGACTCTCTTTTTCTGCCTTCAAATACAATCTGTTGTTTCTGCACAATCTGTCACTGTTCTTTGTTCTCCGAAACACTGTTTTAAAAGGGAAAATATTTGAATAATGCTTTTGCTCATGCTTGGCATTGAGCAAAGATTTGATGTTACTTTTCCAAGTGATTACGTTTATGATTATTTACCTGGCGGACAATAAAACGGCTGAAAAAACTCCCACATGGAGGCTTGTTTCCTCCATAGAATAAAAAGTTAATTACGACTTTTTATCTCACGAGCAATTTGATATTTATTTTCACGCTAGTTTGGAGTTTTTGGTTCCTTGCCACTATCGCCTTTTGGCTTGCTTAGTTGAGGACACTTATTATACCTGACTGCACTGATGATATCAGATGAGAACTGAACTGAGCAGGATGATGACATCACTGTTTTCTCCAAAGCTTTTTCATTGATTAATTGAATAATTGATTAACTTTACAGTTATTGAATCAACACTGAACTGATTTCAACTGTGTAATGACTGTTTACTATTGTCTTTTAAAGCAGCTTTACAGCAGAATTTAATTCTGTTTAGTTGTGTTGCATCATTGAATCAGCATTTTTCCATTTATCACTGTAAAGCTGCTTTTAAAGGTGCATTATGCAACATTTCATGTTAAAAATAGCCGTTTTTCTAACCCATACATGCTTAAACAATTGCCTGGTGGGCTGAATGGGCCCTTCTCTGATCACTCCGATTGCCTCTATAATCATGTACAGTAAAATAAATAAGAGGGATTCGGGCTCGAATTTGAGACTGGGCGTTCACACTCGCCTGGCTATGTCTGGCAGGTTTGTGTATTCGCCGCCATTCTCCGAATCAGAGAAGACAACTCCAGTGACACAACTTTAGTCAACTTTTGACAAAAGTAGAAGATGGATTCAAAGAGACCGGCTTGTAGTTCATGCCAAACCCCAACGCAAACTCCATGTAAGACAAAGAAAATAAAACTTCTGTCTAGTGCCAGGCATCGGAATAAGACGAGAGTCAACATCGGGAAGGCTTTCAACAAACGGAGAGATCTCCGGTCTGCTCTAGGGCTCAAACGGGATCCTATACAAAATAATAACCTATATTGCTCATGAACGTGTTTCCATAATGATATAATCATAAGTGGATACAGTAAGCACATAAAACAGTTCAACATGGAGATAGATGGAAACAAAAACCAAAGTTTTCTGCCTTTCCTTAATATATTTTAAATGACTTTCAGTTTTATAACTTTATTACCTCATTGTGACTAACAAAGGATGTGTTGCAGTTTTGCTTGTCGCCAGAGGAGGCGTAGTTCTGAAAAAACACAGAGACTTGCGTTTTTCATAGGGGTGTAACAATACATCGATCAAACATCTAACGATACCACACATAAAATATCAATATACGGTACCTTTATTTTTACACACTCCACATCCTCACGTAACTTTTCTCAGCTGAAATAGTCGTCTGACAAGATTGACTGAACCCTTTGTCACAAAAGCTGGTATTTTCCACTGAAAAGGCATCGCAAGTTTATCTTTTACAGCAGAAAGGACAAGCCCCGAAAATTTCTCAGATTTTCTGAGAAAGTCAGAAGTTTCAAGTTTCGAGTTTCGTCAAAACTGACTAAAAGTGATCGAGGATGGATTTCAGCAAACTTGATGAACCTAGGGCTGCAACTAACGATTATTTTGATAATCGATTAATCGGACGATTATTTTTTCGATTAATCGATTAATCGGATAAAAAATTATATTTAAATTTTTTGTTTATTATAACAAAATAAAACCCTAAAAACAACACTCTTTTGTGTGTTAAACAATCTACTTAATACAGACAACTTCATTATAAAGAAAAACAACAAATAAAAAATATATATATGACCATAACCTATGACAAAAATGCTATTGTAAACTATATTAGTGGATAACTCAGCAAAACTTAGCCTAGAAATATCACAAGTGCACAATAATTTTTATAAAATCTGAACATTTAGTGAAAAAAACATTCCTTAGTGGGGAACAAATAAGAGACAATAAGTGTAGCACTAACTCTGGTAAAACGTTGCACATTGCTCTTTGTGTTGTTATACATTCATGAAAAACATTGTAAAAATCAGATGCACAACTGTTTTAAATGTAAAGCACAGCTGTTTAGTGAGGAAGCAAAATATAATAGATAGGACAGAACAAGAAAGGCTATTAATAAGCTTTCATTGCGCAAAAGTATTATGACATGATCATGAAAGAGCTGCACAAAGTGCTTATGCATCGCGAGCGCTGAATGATGCGAGTCACAGGGCGGCGCGCAGCTCTTTAGTGTCCGCCGCATTAAAGTTAAAAGCACCAAGGAAAGAGAAAGACATACTGACTGTGTATTATACAGGATCTATGCAATAGTTTATTAAGACTTTTCTTTTAACAGTTTTAAATTTCAGTTAGGCTATTGTGCACGTGAAGAACAATTATACTGCGCCGACTCTACTATAGTGTTGTGATCTAACAGACACTCAGTAGAAAGTGATTAAGTTACAGCAATAAAAGTCTAGCAAGATAGAAAAACCATCATAGACCTTTATCTACGGATCAATTATAATAATAACATTGAATCATCTTGGAAAGAGTTTCATCATGTTAACTGTTGTAACGCGACGCGCTGTTTGAACACCGAATAGAGAATGACTGACAGCCGCAGTGGAGGGAAAAGCTTAGGTTAACTTGAATTTAATGACTTAAATATACATTTCTATCTCACATTATACTTTAGTATGGCTTCATAAAGTATACACGATTAACGTAGGTCACCTATTTTGGTTTCAAAACGGCGAATTTGCCGAAAGGTGAATGATTTTCGTGTATGCTGCACATTGATAGCGGTTTCCTGATGCCCGCAAATTAGTTCAAACTCACGGAATCAAGAGCGCGCATGCGAGACAGAAGATATGTGCTCCAAACCGTCCTTGTTGCGCGCCCGAGACAGAAGATAATGTGCTCCGTTCAAACAGTCGGTGTTGCGCGTGCGAGACAGGGTAGAGCGGCGAGGGAGAGAGACTGCGTGTGTGCCTCATGAAGACGCATGTAAGAAGCACATGTAGCATGTAAACAATCTCCGTGACGTAATCAGACCAACTAATCGATAATGACATTCGTTGACAACGATTTTCATAATCGATTATAATCTATTTTATCGATTAGTTGTTGCAGCCCTAGATGAACCCGTGATATCTTCTTCGGCTCGTAAAAGGAAAACATAATAATTGGCACATAATATCTAAATATCGATTAATCGATCGATATAGCCCTAAATAGAATCGAATCGTAATCGTATCGTAGAATTTTTTGAGGTATCGGCGAATATCGTATCACTGGCTGAGAAAATCGATATCGTTTCGTATCGCGATTAACTGTCCGATTTACACCCCTAGTTTTTCACCTTTAATTTGTGAGATATAATTGAATTGTGAGATATAAACTCACAATTGTGAGATAAAAAACGTGCAATTGTGAGATGTAAACTAGCGATTTCAAGGAGAAAAAAGTCTGAATTTGAGAAATAAACTAGCAATTGCGAGAAAAGGAGTCAGATTTTTTTTTTTTTTTTTTAGCATTTTATTAAATATAAGTTTATATTACTTTCCGTGCACTATTTATTGAACGCACATTTAAGTGTTTCTGACTTCAAGGTCCTTCCCTTTGTCTTGTCTTTTTCCTGTCAGGATGATCTGGCGAGGGAGAACTCCGAGAGGAGAGATGCTGCAGTCGCTAAAGTGGTGCAGCAGGACCAGAGGAGTACGAGTGGACGTGGAGGAAGAGGAAGAGGAAGAGGGGGAGGTGAAACCTCTGCGGCAGAAAAGAAAACCTCTCTGAGAGGCTTAGTGAGAACACAAGCCGAAAGCACACTGGCACACAGCAAACAACCCACTCTGTCTGTTAGAACCAGACCTGAAGGGAAGCAAGAGACGGTGAGCAGGATTATATCAGTGTTATCTAATGCCGTGTTCACACAATGGGCAGAACAACCAAACTCCTCTGATAATGAAATATTAAAGCTCTGTTTCAATAGCAATGAGATGCCTGCCTAGACCGCATCATTCTGACTATTCTAGATACTAGGCTGCTAAATAATTCTTGAACACCATTCAGACAGAACTTTTTTTTTTTTTTTGATTTAAAAATGCTAGAGACTGCACATCCGACTGCAGCACTGATGAATGTCGATAAGGGTTTTTAAAAGTGAAACTTCTTTTTACTTGACAAAGCATCTTTAAAAAAAGAGAAAAAAGGACAGTTAAAGTTAACTGTCGAACTGCTTGGGATCAATATTTATTATGTTAACAATTATGAATTAAATTGAAAATGTTTTTCTTCAGGTTTCACTCTAATAGTGGATAGGAGAAAACTAGTTATTAGAAAGACAATATTAGCCCCCTCCCCATAAAAAAAGGTGTGTGTATACTAAACAGCATATAGATGGATATACACACATAATGCATATACCATTTCTTTATTTTAATATATAATGTTTACTGTGTACAGCCGTTCTACTATATATCATACAAAATGAAATGGGATTAATTACATTTGATCATCTTGTAATGTAGATATTAAACCTTATTCTAAAAGAAACTTGTGCTTTTTAACTTGTATTTAAATCCTTAATGCATATATTTTCTAAAATACAGTATATGTGAAGGGAATCCCTTGTAAAAGAGAGATTTACACAATGTGCTTTCTTTTAGGTTAGGACTCTTCATACTGTATGTAGGCACTAGGCAGTAGATTATGACTAACATTATATGACATGAGAGCTTTATAATTGGCTATTTGGCTGTGGTCCAAATCCTCCGTCTGTTATATTAAAACTGATAATGAATTGCAGTATCTTCTAACTCTGTTTGTTAGCCTTGTTTAATCCTGTACGTGTTGTTTACTTATCACCGTGACCTGACAAGCTCACAACACTCCCAAAATGGCCCATCTGGATGTAAACACTGTTGCTCAGTACTTCTGTGTCTCAGTGGCATTTTCTCTAAATGAGCCGCTTTGAGCACCCATATGTTGCTCCGACACTAATTTGCTAAAAATAAAGAGTGAGAAGACGAGAGGCAGGCTTGCCTTATCTGTGTTTGGCACAAGCCTGGTCCTGTTAATGGCTGTCCATGTTGCCCGGTGTCTGTGTGGATGATTCTTAACCTAGCAACACATTCAGTGGTTATCTGAAGGTTACTATGTGTGGAGGCCATCCAGGCATTTAATTGCTGCTATCGTTAAAGGTGCAGTCAATCCAGACAACAGAGCACACAGTTACAAGAGGTTCAGAGTTATTTTGCTGGCGACAATCGGGGGTTGCCATGCGCTTTAGATTAAACCGAACGAAATCCTTACGGCTATGCCTCACTTCACATAAGCAAAGCTATAACTTTTTTACGTTCTGATCAGTGTTATTGCATGCAGTCTTTATATATGAGTGTTTTTAGTATATCGCTGTCGATATGAGTTTATCATAGTATAGTATCAGTGTACAGGCGCATAATCTACCATGTTTACCATATATATTTTATATCAGTTTTGTCTTTTGAAAGAAATTAATACTTTTGTTCTGCAAGGATGCATTCAATTGATCAAAATTGACAGTGACATTTATGATGTTACAAGAGACTACTATTTCAAAAAATAGTACTGTTCCTAAAAAATAAATCTATCACAGTTTCAACAAAAATATGAAGTAGGGCAACTTTTATCAACTGATAATAATAATAATAATAATAATAATAATAATAATAATAAATGTTTCTTGAGCAGCAAATCAGCATATTAAAATGATTTCTGAAGGATCACGTGACACTAAAGACTGGAGTAATGATGCTGAAAATTGAGCTTTATACCACAGGAATAAATTACATTTTAAATGTATTATTTTAAAGGTGCTATATGTAACTTTTCTTCTAAAATGAATTCTTTTTTTATTGCTTGTGTGTGAAGGGGTTGTAATCACACATTACAATGACCCACTTGTTGAGTTTTGCTATTACCTCTGTTTCTATGTGAAGTCTCCGGGTCGGATTTTCATGCGCGCTCCCGAACCTCTCTCCTTTACAGTCTATCTCTATGCGACGGCACTGTAGCTAACAACATGGAGTCTGATAACACCAAAAAACGACCTACCTCCAGCACAACACACACTCCAACACAAACTCCACATAAATATAAAAAACAAAACAAAAATGTATCTGCTGAAGCTCATCAGGCCAATTGTGAACCAGATCGACTTAGGACGAAAACACGGACCAACATCGGCAGAGCATTTGAATTATGGAGAGAGCTCCGCTATTTTTATTGTGATAAATTACAATAGCAAGGGAAAATACAACATATATGAGACATGAAATGAAAACAAAAGACTGTTCCAGAATAACAAAAAGTAGGTGCTTAAAGGTCCGTTCACACCGGGACGAATATCAGCGCGTGTTATTCGTCAGCTTTTTTTAACGCATTTTGTGATTTTCGCTGACGATGAGCCGAGTGAGCATGCAAATTCATTCCCTGACATTAGATGGCGCCAATTTGCTCTGCAATACCACTCCATAACAGTTCTCTTTTATCAAGATGTTTGTAGTCCCTGTCGCATTTGTCATATAGTTATTTATGTTCTAGCACCAACAAGAACAGCAGCTTTACATTCATCTTGCCTTGCATCTTCCTCGTCTTATTTCTTCCTGGCTGTGTAGACGGCGGCGCTACTTGGCGTATATATTCCTCGCCGTTACATATGTGTGCTCAGCAAAACCGTTTTGTGTTTGAGCTCCCCCAAGTTGTGTTTTATTGTAACTTCAGAAGCTCCAAACACGCGCCAATCTCATTGGTCGGATAGTTTTTGACGCAGCGCATCAAACGAACCCGAGGCGTTTTTTTTTTTTTTTTTTAAATGGCACTTTTACGCGTGGCGTTTTACCCATCGGTGTGCACACTCGCATTGGCGCCCTTTGTTTAGTCACGAGGCGTTAAACATCAGAGAATAATGTGCGCGAAATCCGTCCTGGTGTGAACAGGCCTTTCTATTAGGATGTAACTTTTATTTTATGTACTAGATCTACTGTCTAACGTCACTCATCCCACTACTATCATCGTATTGTTTATAATACACATTTCCAGACACGTTCAGTACAGTAATGTTACTTCTTACAGTCTTACTGTTACACTGAAATTGTTCAGTCTAGTTCACTAACTGTTTTCGTTATCATATTATACGGTACATTCACCTATGTTGACATTGCTGATTGTGAAAGATGCATGAATAGTTAGTGAAATGCCTTATGCTAGATAACACCACAAATGTAACGTCATAATGGTACGAGCATGAAGCATTAGTAAGCTGATAAAAGTAGCCTATTATTGTATTGTTGCAGTGGGAGTTTACATGAGTTTCAAGTCTCAGTGTGGCCGGCGTGTACCATGAGTGCTTGCCTTGTGTTCGAGCACGCCTAAGAGAACGAGCGCTCTTGTAAAAATTGGTTGCAATCTGAAACATCACCGATAGAGGCCGCTAAAAAATACATATAGCATCTTTAAATTGTGATCATATTTTACAATATTATGTTGTTGTTGTTGTTTTAATCAAAATATGTTTTTGTTTTGTAGTAATTTACCATAACTGTATGGATAAGTTAATATTATTTGCCATGTTTACTATCAATATGATTAGTACAGTTTATTATGTTTACTATAGGTACAGTATGAGTATATTCATACAACGTGCCATGTTTACCAAACATACCGTATGAGTGCATCATAGTATACATTAACATGCTATTTTAAATCTCGATTCACAGTTTGTTAATTGAGTTTTTTTTTTTTCATGCCCAGTCGGTTGTGCTTAAATCTCAGAATGATCAAGAGTATCTGACCAGACTGTATGGAAAAGCTCTTTATGAGGGTCATCGACGCACACTCAAAAAAAGCCCTTACCTTCGATTCAACTCGCCCTCACCGAAATCCAAACCTCAGCGACCTAAAATAGTAGAGACCGTCAAAGGTGAGTTTCAGCCCTTCAATTAGAAGTGATGATTGATGGTCTTTCTACGTTTCTTTTAGCAACTTGTGAAATCGTCTTTAAAACCAACATGAAAAAGAATTGTCATAAGATCGTTGATCATGATCCTGCCTGAAAATAATACATTTTTCCATGTTGCCCACCCCTAATTTTGCTTTTTCTGTTTTCCATTTAACTCTTTATGGATTCTTGTCCCTCTCTTCTCATTCGCTCATATAGGGGTGAAGATGAAGTCATCTAAAACCCAAACTAGCCAGTTTGTGGATGGTGTTCCTGCCCTGCAGCCTTCAGTCTCTGAGCCCCATTTCCTGTTCAGCCCCAGTGATCCTGCCCAACAGCAGCAGCCTGGGTCTCCAGTGCGAGGTTACCTCATTCCCATGGCAATACCTTTAGGTAAGCCACCATTAATACTAACTAACAGGGATTGTATGGACATGAGAAACCTGAAAAAGTCATAGCAATTTTAAAGGCATATCCAAGCCCTTACAATAAACACAAAGCTATGGAAACTTCTGTCACAAATATCTATTTAACGTCATGTGACGTTATATTTTGTGTGCGGGGTAAAGTCTAGCACAGTTGCCGTTTTGTATTTTAAACCACGTAACTTGTCATTGAGATTTAGTTTAGATATGTTGTGGTAGATTTGAACATGTTTTTTTTTATTCTTATGTTACATGTATACATGGATGTTTCATGGAACATTAGATGATGAATATTCACCTCAAAAATCATGTGAAATTATTCGTAAGAATCTGTCTGAACCCTTTTTACCTTTTACTTGTTCATTTGAATTCATCTAAATCTGTCTTGGCAAAGTTTACTCCAACCCAACTCGGACTTGATGTCCAATATGACAACTTGCATTTTGTGTCAGAAAACTATGTTTTAAAACATGAATACATAAAGGATCAATGACGCAGTTTGTGCTGTTCTGTGTCCTTTAAACCTCTGACCATTCTGAAACGAAGATGCGACAGCCTCCACATGCTGCAGTCATAAAGCGTCTCTCCTCCGGCTGGCTCTGAGCACACGGCAGCATTAAAGAATGGACTTAATTAGACGACATTTCAGAGGTGTGAGTTTAGCTCTTAATTACGACTGCCTCTCCACTCGTTAAAAAGCCTTCCTATGCCGCTCTCGTTTAATCACTTCACTGTCAGGGACATTAATGCCTTTCTATTACGCTCTCATTTTCCCGCTTCCAATCACTGCAAGCTCCGTCTCAGGTCCGACCTTGTGCGGTTGGAGGTAATTCTGTTTATTAGCCCAAACAGCCATATGTATGAAAACACCGTCGTGCTTTACGAGGGGACTTTTTAGGGCAGTAATTGCAAATAGCCAATTGAAAACATTTTGAAAGCGTTCATATTATGAGTTGATTAGTTTTTTTTTTTTATATATTTTTTATCCCCTACCCCCTTTTCTTTTTGAGGATTATGACCTCCTGGCGCCGAAACGTTCCATTAGTTTGGTAACCGCTGAATTGCCATCGTTATTTTCTGTAATGGACTGAAGAGGTAATTAAAGGTATTGCATGAAAGAAATGGCACTGACGAAGCACCTTTGCACTGTTAAAGCTGTTTACAGTATTTCGATGTTTCCCGAATTGTGGCCCAGGGTATTGAGAATGAAATGAACTAGAGGAAAATGGCCTAGTAATGTTTGAAACAGCATTTTGTGGGCTGTTGCCCGTATGCTGGACTGACCTCTGATCGGAGCTACGCTGAAGTGAACAAAGACTCGCTAATCACATCTGCAATGCAGTGGCCTTAATCGGCGTCATAGATACAGTACTCAACTCTCTTCATAGTCATATTGAACTTCCTTTCACTTGGAAATGAATTAAAACTAAGGAAAAACTACAGCAACAATGTGAAAGTTGCTAAAAAAAACGCTAAAATGTTAGCATTAAACATTAGCTTTATGTTGTTGTTGTTGTTTTTTACAGTTACAAGCCAGCATAGCTGCTCACTAGATAGACTTACTTAGTTAACCTGTTTCACTAGAAAGATAATGCTAGTCGGCCTGCTTCACCAGCCAGTAAATATAATGCATGATGACCTACATAGACCTATATCTAACCAGCATTAATTAGCATAATCTAGCCATGAAATCCATTCTGGTCAAATCTTAACAATAAGCATTTTTTTATTTAATTTAATTTAATACTTTAACTTATATTTATTTAATTTTTACACCATTTTCATTGGTCCCACCACAAAGCATATTCATATAAATACATTATGTATTTATGTACATAATTTTAACTATATACGTACATAATATTTTTTTTAACTTTTTTTTGCATTTTCAAAGCATCTTTTAGTAATATTAATCTTTAGAGACATACTGTAAGGACAAATTTTGAAGGGGACCTATTATGCAAAATAAATGCATAATGTATTTGAACATAAATGTGAGTCATCAACCACCCTATAATGGTGAAAAGCCAACTACTCCTCTTTTTTTAATTCCCATAAATCATAAGCAGCATCTCAGAACAAGCTGTTTGCTGATTGTAAATTTTGTGACATCACATATGCTTAGGCCCCGCCCACAACTCCTGACTCGGCTGAGTGAGCTTTACACAGTCTGCCATGTTTATCTCCTCACCAAAGCATTCAACAGTAGGTTTATTAAGAACACATTTCTTACTTGAATGCTGCTAAGTTATTTAATCAAGAGCAGTGAGTGATTTTCTGTTTTTCTTTTGTTGTTTGATTCATATTAACAGCATAGCAGTAGGTGCTGTATTAGTACACTGCTTTCACTTTAATACACAGATCTAATCATAGACAGTAAAAGAAATGAACACAGCGACCCCATAGATTTCAATGGAGAAAGTTCTTGGAAAGGGCTTCTCCCTTAATGCCTCCATTTCCACCCGATTGCCTCATAGACAGTTAAAGATTGCCCGCGAGCTTCGCCTTCTGTCTATACGGTAATTTCTCTACTGTGCGACAGAGAGTCCCGTGGTTATGACGCAATCGTCAGCCTATTTTTACAAAAACGGCTTCTATGGGGACATAATGTAAGATACAAAGTAATGGAGCCTTTTATCAATTGTCCTGTTTCTTAAGAAATAAATAATGGACAAATGGAGTCTTTGGACACCTCAGATGTAAAGTTATTCGCTGTCAAAGTGAAGTTGAATGGGAGTCAATGGAATGCTAATCCCAAGCGAAGCTTCAGTTTCTGGCTGGTGGATTTCCCCCTTGGATCTAATATACACATGTGATTTACTTACTTGCTGTTTATATTTTCAGACAGAACTGACTGTGTTTATGTGAACTTTGTGTGTTTTTGACACAACCTTGTGTGTGTTTGACAGTTTAAGTGCAGTAAGACGTGAAAGGAGAACTTAGTTTAATACCCACGAGACACTTTATCTGACAGCCAGCTTCTGTGTTTCGGATGTGTGCGCTCAGAAAACCATATATCAGAAGTTTAGACTGATATGGCTTTAAAACGCATGCAGAATGTCACATGACCACGATAGAGATGATAATCAAAACCATATGTTTTAGTTTATGTTTAGTTTATGTTTTAGTTTATGTTTTATGTTTTAGTTAATTATTCACGATACAGCACTTGCCTTGAGTACGTTATTGCTTTTATGAAACGGTTGCCACACAATATTAAAGTAAAAAACAATGTATTAGTGCAACTTTCTTGAAATCACTAAAAGCCTTCCTTCTGCTAGAAAAAATAGTCCCTGAGCGTGAACAGCAACAATGTTCCAATGTGTAAAATGTGTGAAAGCTTAAATAAAAACAACATAGAAGCGCAGTGTTGCGCAGCGATTAATAGAACCGTTGGGTGAAGCGGTCGTAGCCGTGTTTTATCGTGAATAAAGCACAGCTCTTGACCAATCAGAATCAAGGATTCGAACTAACCGTTTTATAATTGCATTTAATTTATATGCACGAAAACGGCATATTTTTCCTCCCATTTAAAAATGGCCATTTAAAACATGGTATAATAAATATCTATGGGGTATTTTGAGTGGAAACTTCAGACACTTTCCGGGGACACCTGAGACTTATATTACATCTTGTGAAAAAGGGCATAATATGTGCCCTTTAATGTCTATGTATGACAAGATTAAAAATGAAGGCTTTTATACTAGAAGGACTATTTTAAAGAAAAAACAAAACAAAAAAAACAACATTTTTTAAATGAACATTCTTCCAAGTCTTTCTCACATTTTTGATCAGGGTTTCCGTGGGGCATTAAAAAGCATTAAATGGATTTTTCGAAATTAAGGACTTAAAAAGCATTGTCTGACGTCAACTTATGACATTCGCTTGGTTTTTGCATTCAAAAACATCAAAATGAATAAG